TCTCAGTTTTTATGTAGTTTATACCTGATTTACTCATTTTTTTTCTTGATTAGTGTAAATTTTCTAAATTGTGTGAGAGTCGGATTTGACAAAAATTTGGAGAAAACATTCATTTTTCGTCTTTCGGAAAATGATTCCGTTTTTTTATTACCGGAGAATAATCGCATCTCTCTCTCCAGAGTCGTTTCTTTTCCCAGGGAACTCATCAAAAATATTACTGGGAACTATTATCAAAAATTCCCGAATAGTGAAAAAAGATAACGTGATTTGGAGGTATAAAAAGGAGTGACTCAAGGAAAAGGGGTCGTCAAGAGTTTGCGAACAGATCGAAGAGGTGACCTAACAAGAAAGAGATGTATCGTCGTCGTCCAAGCTACCCGGAATTTCCTATCCTGTATTTCTTTAAGAACACCTTCGAACTCCCGGGATTAAATCCTCCAGTTCGCCATCGCTTCCTCGACCGCTATCCAAGAAAAGGAAAACTTCAACTGCTCTTGGATTCCGTCCCGACCGAACGACCGACCGAAGTCAGAAAGATCCGGAAAATCCGCACTATTAAGTGCATTAAAGGTATATATACTAACTCGCGGTTTCTTGTAAACTCTCTCTCTCTCGACCGTTATTCGATAGCATGAAGCCATGTATTCTCTTTTTTGTTGAATTAAATCGGTTATTTTAGTTGTTAACCTTGTATTTGAGCAATTCACTTCCGATTCGTTTCTCATCCGAATCCGATCGCCCGCGCACGTGACCGTTTGCGCGAATTCCGAATTTGCGGTCTGTGTCTATCCTAGAAGACACAGTAGTGTCAGTCCTGACGAGGCACTAAAAAGGTACCGACCCTCAATTGCACAATTGCAACAGTCATGAAACTTTTTTGTTGACATCACTTCTTTATTGTATTACATGGCTCAAATTGTAGTCTATTTTTAGCAAAGTAATCGCAAGTTGTGACACTGAACTTAAAGAAAATAAGATGCCTTTTCAGGAAGTAATTAAGTTGTAAAAGGGGTTATACTGAAAAGACAGGTCCAGAGGGAGCAATAAGTGTGGTCCTTTTAATCTTCGTTTTTCCGAAAATCATGAACGATAATTACATTTTCTCGAAATTGCAGTGACTAATTTATCTGGTCATACAATAACAACATGCATAGATGATATTACAATTCATTTTTTCATTAATGGTCCATGATATGAAATTAAATTAATTTTTTCAGATAATTTCATGGTTTGTCTTACATTAATAAAAGTATTTAGTTTATAACAATAAACTGTTCGGATCTAACTTATTTAAAAATTTATCATACGACGTGATTTTAGAAAAAATCACGTTGTTAAGTACTGAAAGAGATGGGATGGTTCTCGAATAGTCAGAAATAAGGGTCTCAATTCTCCCCGAAATTCATAACAATATATGAATAAAAGCAGATTTTTCACTGTTCGTAACTTTCTTTCTTACATAAAAGAGAAAATTTTGAAGACATGTCTATGCCTGGTGCTTGGGACAAATAGTCTTGAGGCTCTTCAAATCGAATTTGCATGCTATTATTAAAGTTTGAAGCTTTCATTCTTTTGTAATCTTATAACTAATTTTGAGATTTCGTAGTTTATAGATAGATAGCATATGTAGTTTAAATATACCTATTAATAATAAAACTCTTAACTATTATTTTCAATTAGATATATTCGAGTATATTTCTAAAATTTTTCTTCAGATTTTTCAATTTTCACAAATTTTTTATCGCTTTTCTGAGCTATTATAATTTGCTCAAAATTCCAAAAAAAAAAAAATTGAAAATTAAAAGTAAAAATATTCAAACTTCTCTGATTGATCAACATAATTATACGAGATTTTAGAAACAAAAATATTATGATTTTTAATGTTTTTCAGTAGCTTCGTTTTCACCTCTCATATCCTCAGGGTCAGCGCTAATCTATTTGCATTTCTAGACATCACCACTCCTCAAGTTTAACTAACAAGAAAGTCCGTGGAGAACACTCACGTCCTTGGTGTTGATGTCTCCTGAGCTCTCTATCCCTTTTTTCAATTTGGCGTTCTCAGTTCATTACATTCTTCCTTCCTTTTTCTTGCTCTTGAAATTACAAAAATTGATTTTATTACGCAGATTCCAGTTCTAATTCCTTTATAGCAGTGGTTCTCAGCCTGGAGTCATATGGCTCCCAGTGGACCATCTGACATTTCTAAGAAATTATGTGGGGAAAATTAGACATTAGGAAGCCACAAAAGTTTTTGAAAGTGCCGAATTAACAGGTGAATACCTTATCATAATCCATACATTTCATTGTTTGTATTGATTTCAACATCATAAATACTGTATTGAAAATTACAGTGTTTGCTTATTATTTATTATCCATCTGTCTATAAAAACAAACATTCAAAAGTTTACTTTTCCAGCTTTATCTAAATTAAGAATTGTACTTCATTACATTCGATTTCTTTTCTTTTTTTTTTTGCCAAATTTACTATATTAATTTACAAACATTCAAAAGTTTACTTTTCCAGCTTTATCTAAATTAAGAATTGTACTTCATTACATTCGATTTCTTTTCTTTTTTTTTGCCAAATTTACACGATATCTCGCAAAAAGTTTTATATTTAAAAATGTGTTTTTAACAATGAAAGATTTCAGATAATTTCATCTTTTCGAGAATTATTTTTTAATCTAAAATAAACTTTGCTTATTGTTATTCGATTAAATTCTAAAGATAAAAAGTAGTCAACATTACTTTAATAACTAAAATTAAAGTCTCGGCTTCCCCTCCCTTTGATCGACCTTGAGCAGAACCTGAAATTAATATTTAAATAGGAGAAAGCTAAGCTTATTCCCCTCCCTTCTTTGCCTTAATTTTTATATTATATTTAAAAAACATTCATATAAATGCAAAGGATATGTTTGAACAAAAATGAAATATACAACGTCTATCTTTCTGCCTTTCATCTAACAGTTCATCTATCTTTTTGCCTTTCAAAATTAGGTGAAAGACAAGTTTCATTATTTAGCAAGTTAAGCTTCTAATTGAAGGATGTATAGGGCCACACTGGGCATAAGAGCATGACTCATCAGTCTAGTGCCCTTAGGTAAACTGTAGGTGGCCGGCAGAACCTAGAAATAAGGAGCATCAAAAGTCTGCTTAAGGGGCCCAGCTCTGCTTGGATAATTTTCATTTGGAAAAAATTACTTATATTATTATCAAATAAAGTTCTTAATTAATATACAGAAAAATGTACTTTTTATTTTCTTAGATTGGTGGAGGTCACAAAAAATGTTTACAAGAAAGCCTTAATTAACATAACAGTTATTCACTGTTTGGTCACGTAATAAGTGAATGTTCCTGACATTGTGCATTAGATTGAACTTATTTTATGAGATATTTTGAACTTATAATTCATAAAACATTTTTAAAAAATTAATATTAAATATAAAATTATAATAGAAATTAAATATAGAAATCCAAATTCTAGGTATTAAGAAGGAATTAAAAGCAGCAATTTAAAAAAAAATCATTTACAGTAATTAGATAAAGTGTCAAAGAAAAAAACAAATATCTAAACTTAGAAAACTGCATTACAATACATGTACTGTACAGTACATTTAATCTCGCTGTATGGCCGTTCGTTTTTATAACTATAAGATATAATATTTCTGTTATGATTATAGGAAACGTACTTTTAATTTACCATCTCGATATTTTATCTTCTCAGTATACAATCAGTTAATTCGAACGGATGGAAACTTCCTTCTAAATAATTATTATGTAGTTAAAACTATTATTTCTAGGAAAATAATCTCAGTTTATGACATTGAACCTACAAAGGATTCAATTTCCAGAAACCAATTAGGACGTAAAAGCAGTAGATTTGTAATACTAATTATAAAAATTTGATTTTCAATGGTACCTGACACACAAACTTAATTCGTTCCAGAAGACTGAGTAGCGATCTGTTCGAGTACCTAACGAATTTTTCCCCATATTAAAAGGAATAATATAAAATAATGCAATCCGTTTCAGACTCCCAAAAACACACTCATAAAAGCATTTTAACTAAAATTTAAGATAAATTTTATTAGAAGTTCACAAGTCTAACATATATAATAAATCATAAAAAGAACAACAAAAACATAATCATTTACTATGCGGTAAATATTTATTATTGTTAATTTACTAACAAGTAAGATGGAATATTCTAAATTATTAGCCTATTGTAAATTTCTTTTTAAAAATCAATTCACTTTAAACAAAAATAAAATAAAATGTAATTCAACTTATGTATTTTATATCACAACAAGAACGTAGGAAATATGCTACATTGGCTATATTTATATTTTATAAAAGCTTAATGATGAACACTCTTTGATAATTCATCAACTAGATTTTATAGAAAGTTAATGTTCTCAGTTTTACTTTTATCTCGACAATCTATCTTCATAAGCTTTTGATACGAACCATTAGCAAAAGAATCAATGAATCGTAATATAATATCAAGATATATATTTTTCAAAATAAAAGCCTGTGTAAAATGTGCATTAGACAAAATTTGTCTTTGCAGTTAGAAGTTTTTATTACAAAAAGATAATACTATAATACTAAAGTAGAATTGTAACATGTAATTCTAGTAGCACTTCATATAATATTAGTTTAGAAAAGCTTTAAATAAACAATGAATTTCGCTCGTAAATTTTCATTAAAAATGTCAATCACTTTTAAACTGGACAAAAGACATGAACTAAGAACTTTCCTTGTTTCTATCTAAAACAATACATTATAGTATGTCCAATCCAAAGTATTGTCTACTTTCGGAAACGATTTAGTAGAAATTTCTACATTATAATTTTTAAAATTTTATTTAATTTTTCAATAGTTTTTAAAGCTATTAATTATGATATCTTTTTAACTGTAGTTTCTACGAATCTAAAATAAGATAACATTTCTAAAAACTCCAACAAAGGAAATGTCTCTTCCTAGGTAAATGCATTTCCTTTAACAACTATTTATCAGATAAAGCTTTACTAAAGATTAAAACTACTTACGTACGTACTTTATTAAAATAAACAATGTTTAATATTAAAGTTTTATGTTTTTTTATTTTTACATTGTCGTTTGTTTTATCTTTCCCTGATAATTTTTACAAAAGGTAAGTTTAAATATTCATAAACATTAAATTTATAATTATAAAAATATATTAATAAACTTTTTTTATTTAATTTTGACAGTCTGGAAGAAAACTATGGATCAGGTAAGAGTTTTGTTTCTAGAAATTTAAATTTTGTTAATGTTCTCTTTATAGGACTATAATGAAATGTATAATAAACCATTGCCCTCTTTTAATAGTCAAACGTATCTACAAACTTCTCCAGAACGTTGTTGTCTTCCTGAACCTTCTAAATTAACTAATTAAAATTTGCAATTAATTTCTAATTATTAATCTTAATGACGGCTTAATCATTGGCAAGATTGAAGCCGGATTTCATAATTTGTTCAAAAAATAATTTGGCTTCTAGCTATGTTCGGTTACGATAAAATATTTTTAATATTTTAAGTTTATTTATTTAATAATAATTGCTGTGAAAGGCCGGGTTTTTTGATAAGAATAAAAGCACACGTAAATCGTAAAAATTATGATAGGCCTATATTTAATATTTTTCTTACATAAATTTTAGATAATGAAGATGTGGCTAAGACAATTAGAGAAGAATCTGTAGATCAAGATGGAAATAAACATACTAGAGGTAAATATTTAAAAATTAACTATTTTAATTTACATTAGTACAATTTAAGTTTTTACTGCACATTTTAAACTACATTATCATATCTATTTATTAAGAAAAACTAAATTTAAGTCATGTAGAATATTATCATACAGTTCTTGAATGTTTTAAATTAATTTTTAATTATTAATCTTAGCACAAGGTGAAAGCTTAATTATCTAAAAAATTACGTAATTTGCTCAATTAATAAGTAGCTTAATTTTAACTGAAAAATAATTCGATTTATAGTTATGTTTAATATTTTTATTTAATTATTTAACAATAACTTTTAAAGCCGATGGAGTCACGCCTTCTGATAAGGGTTAAAGAGTGCATCCATATTAACCCAAATTATAAAATTTATAATTATTTTTATATTAATATACTAAATTTTAGATAATGAAAATATGGCTGAGATAATTAGAGAAGAATTTATAGACCAATATGGAAATAAACATACTAGAGGTAATTTAATTTTTAATAATTCATTTAAGATATTCTTCCAATTATTTAATTAATGACAACCAAACTTAAGGCTCATAAAATGTTATATTATAGTTTTAAAAATTACTTTTATGTATAAAAAATGTGTTTATTGTAGTTGCTANAGTAATAGTATTGTAAATTTATATAAAATGTTTCGCCATTATGTCTTTGGAGAAAATAAATACACATACAGAGTTTTTGTATACACAGGCACTCCTCACTTAACGACTTACCTGTAAAGCGACCGCTCGGACTTACGACAAGTTCTCCACCATGAGGAATCAATTCCCTTTCTTAATCTTAATCCTTAGTCCTGTTCCTGCAGTCGGTCAGTAATTACTACATAAATCGTTTTCAATCTCCAAGAATACATATTTCGTTTATATATTTGTACTTTATTGTGCACCCCATTTGGGGAATTTGATGACTAAAATATTAATCTGAATGTCTTTTCTTTATTAATGAACTTTCAAGAATTATGTACAACATTAACTTATCACACTACACCTTTTTTTGCCGAGATAGTTTTATTGAAAAACTAACGGTTTCGGCCTACTCTATAGGCCATCGAAAGAAAAAAGAAAAAAAGATGTAGTGTGATAAGTTAATTATTTGCGTAGCACATTCTGTTTAGTGTTATGTACAACATTTTTATAATTTTCGCTGGTTGTAATTTCGCTCTATAAGAGACGCAAATTAAGACAAAGTTATCGAGTTAGATGGAGTTTCCTTTAGACCAGGGGTGTCCAACGTTTCTGTTTCTCTAAGCTATAGAAATCATAGAGTTTTGGGCCACAAGTATATTATATATACTTGTGGCCCAAGTACTGTATATTGTGGCCAAATCCTTAATATAAGTACAGTATATTTAAGGATTAACATGTCTAGATTATAATAATAAGTATTAAAAGTTTATCACAAAGAAAAATATTTTTAAAAATTACTTTTACAGANTTATTGAAAATCTGTAATCTCATATAATAAATTATATATATTAATTCAATTAATATCATATGTAATGCACAATGTTAACAAAAATTTCACCCAGTTAATTATTTCAAAAGCTAATAGGAAAATAATTGTAAACCTTTAGTTGATGTGTACTATGTCAGTCATACTTTAAAATGACCCAGTGTTATCTAATTAAATGATGATGCAAATTTCTATTCTTTCAGCTCTTATATAGAAGAGGACGGTTGTCATCTCAGCCCCTAATGAAAATAGGCAAAATTATCAATTATATATATGTAGCACATAAAAGTATATGTACAATTTCTTTTTAGTCCATTCCTAAATATTAAGTGGAATCTTGGAACAGGTAAATGATTCACTGCATAACACTCAAGGCGGTAGCAGTGCATCACTCCGTAACACAAAGGCAATTCAGGAGTGGTTGAACGTGTGATTATGTTTAGGTTAGTAATGATGTGGCTATGCAAATAATCCGATTCAATAGAAAATATGAAATACCGTTAAATTAAACACACAAACATCACAGACGTTTGTATATGCCGTTTAATATGACATCTGTACATGCCTGTACATAATATGATATGGATATGAACATTTTCATATCCGTATTAATGCTAACTTGAACCTAACTATATATTTAACCATTTCTTCAAGACAGCGGATGGCCGCGCGGTTTAACGTGTTTATCGCTCTGTGAGACCCGGGAAGGAATCCAGATAGGTCGAAAAACATTAATAATTTTTCTTGGATTGTCCGTCCCAAATATGTCAGGCTCATCGCCTCTCCATCCGGCCGTCCAATTAAGACCCTAACTTAACTCTCGATGAATTTGATTAAAAAAAAAGTCTTCCCAGCACCCACAGAGCGAAAAAAATAACCATTAATACATTGCATTCGTGTTATGCAGTGATGCATTTTGTGAAATGAAGCATCTACCTTTACATTTGACAGCGTGTTTCCAGAATAGGCTGTCAAATATGCAATCCCACAGTAATTCCCTATCAGTTTTTGAGATAATGACCGGGGAGAAACCTTTTTGTAATGAAAATTTTATTTACTTTTAAAATGTAATATCTTCTATGATTTTGTTCTTAATAAACTATGGCATTATTACTAATTATACAAATTATGAAATTTAAAACTTTTTAAAAATTATTTACCAATTTTATTCGTCTGCTAAAAATGTTTTCTTCCATATTAACCCAAATTATAAAATTTATAATTATTTTTATATTAATATACTAAATTTTAGATAATGAAAATATGGCTGAGATAATTAGAGAAGAATTTATAGACCAATATGGAAATAAACATACTAGAGGTAATTTAATTTTTAATAATTCATTTAAGATATTCTTCCAATTATTTAATTAATGACAACCAAACTTAAGGCTCATAAAATGTTATATTATAGTTTTAAAAATTACTTTTATGTATAAAAAATGTGTTTATTGTAGTTGCTATCCGCAACGATAAACGCATCAGTTTGTCATTCTGAACGACAAGGGACAGAAAATGGGTCAGAAGTTTAAAGATTTTCATGGTTGATTTGACCAGGACATTGTAGGCATGTAGTCTCTTCCTTACCAACAGAACAATAGACAACTGATTAGTAAGGAACAGTCCATGTCCACAATGGAACAGAATCTATGATTGACAAAAACTCCTCTTATTGCTGACAAGAGATGAAATAATTTTAAAAATTAATTCTATATGCACCTTTATTAAGTTATAAAAATCAATTTATTACAGCATTTATGTGAAAGTATTTTAATATATGTATATATAGTATATATATCTTTTTATTTGTAGAATTTGAAATTAAACGATCTGCTGTTACAAATAAAAGAAAGAAAAGAGACAGTGATAATCTAATTGGTAACTTTTGTTCTTAATTATTAATTAATTGGTAATATTACTTATTTCATAGAAATTTTTAAAAGAATATTGTCTTTATTCGTATTAATTTATTAATTTTTGATGTTTTCCGAACATTAGAACAACAACGTTACAATTTACAACATAAGTTACCAGTTGTGCAGAAAAATTACTAAAAATTCAGTAGCATTATATTAATAATCTAATAATTAATAATGTGTCTTAATATTATGGATTGCCCGCTTTAAAACACAATTGTAAATAAGTTTCCATTTTATTTTCCTGGTTGTTATGTACTGTACTGTACATAACACGTAAAATTATTGGAATCGTGTCAAATTTGACCCTCTTAAATTTTGCAAATTTCGAAACAGATGGAGCCACATACAATTTTAACTTCATGCTAATGGGTCTTACAAGGAGAGGGCCAAGTTTCGTTCGAATCAGAGACTCGAACGAAACTTGGTGAACACGTAGACGAAAACACAAATAGCTCCTTGTCCAAATAATAGGACCCACTTTCCAAGCGTTTCCAAAATACGAGCCTCTGAAAATTGAGTTAGAATGTTTAGCTTATAAGTCTTTGAAAGTTACTCTGTTTTCCTTCTGAAGTAAGTGAGACGAAATATTTACTGTTTGAAGAAATAGTAAATGAATAAATATATTTTCTAACGCGATATTACGAAAAAATAAAAACCGAAAATGGAATCTCATGGAACAAAATCATTGAAAATTGCTCATGGGGTCGTTGTTCGTATAGACTGAAATGTATGGTGATATTACTATAGGAAATAGAATAGTAATACACTCTACTGTTCGTATTATTGATGAAGCTGGAGCTATCAAAATTGGTGGAAATAATCAGATTGAGGAACTAGTACAGATTATCAACTAATAATTATTTGTTAATCTATTTTAAAATATATATGATATTCTAAAATGTTTTCACTTGTAAATTTGCATAAGAGCAAAATAAATTGTGACATTTTACAAAATACTAAAACAATCATTTAACATATTGGGGGGGAAATAGCCGACTGGATAACATTCTAGGTACTAGACCTACACGATGTAAGTTCGCAATTTTATTTTATTTCTTTTGTGCGTGTAACAAAATTATTTTATTATTTTACGGTATAATTAGCATTATTATTCCTCACGTTTAAAGCTTATAAAGCAAGAGATTAAAACGTGACGCAATTTCCTGTTTAGCAAAAACGAAGTCTCTGTAGATTTAATCACTTGACTATTCTCTATCGTTAGAAGAAGTGAAACTTCGAAAGACTTATCAGCTAAACACTTAATTTTTAGATGTATTTTTTATGAAAATGCTTGAAAGTGGGTCCTATTATTTGACCGAAGAGCTGTTTGTGTTTAGGGCTAAGTATTCATCAAGTTTCATTCGAATTGCAGCCCCGAACGTCTGACTCTCTCCTGGTTAGTATTTCTTAAACATACGTATTTTTCTCTGGGAAAGTTCCGCAACTCGCTGTTGGAGTTTCTCCTTTGTCTGGGTCTGAATGAAAGCAATAATTTTTGCATGAATAAGCATAACTTTATTTACCGTCGTCTTTATTACATTTTCTTATAAGATAGCAAACAACTACAATATTCATAATATTTTATTAAATAAATAGACGTTAAATATATTATAGTGGTTCAAATTTTTTTCATATTATATGTCTTAAAATTTATGTAAAATGAACTGTAGGTCACTTANAATATTTTTAAAAATTACTTTTACAGACACTTTTAATTTTTACTTAAAAATAGATAAATTCATTTATTATAAAGGAAACAAACAAAAATTTATTTGAAAAACGCAATTACTTGTTTTATTTGGGTCTCTAATGAATAAAAAACGACGAAACACCATTTTAAAGTGCATTTTTATTCGACAAATATATTTAAAAATAATATGTAGCCTAAAAAGTAGCCAATGCGCCAAATAATATTTTTTACGCCAAAGTAAAAAGAAAGTAGCCAAATCTTGCAACGCTGGAAGGAATACAGTACTAAATACAGCTGGAGTTGGGACTCAAGGATTATAGACCCAAATGCGGAGAAAGGAGAGAAAAAACAAAAGATAAAGAAGTGAGGAAGGTTGGAAAATTAAGAGTCAATATTTGCATAACGGAAGGTGTATTTAACCTTTCTCACTACTTTTTATCTTTTGGACTTTCTCGCCTTTCCCCGAATTTGGGTCTATAATCCTTTGAGTAACAACTCCAGCTTTATTTAGTATTCCTTCCTCATTCACACATTTTTAAGTACAGTATTTGAAAATATTTCCTTTCCACTCAAATATAAAATATGTATAAAGGTTTATGGGTTTGAGTTTATGCCGTTGAAATAAATAAATAAATAAAAATACAAAAATTTGTCGGTTTTGTTTATACGTTTATTGGGCCATATTGGAAATTGCCTTGGGTCGTGGGCCGCGAGTTGGACACCACTGCTTTAGACCTTTGTTTTATATAGAATAAATAAAACCGATTGAGCTCCTCTTTTAATGATAAATTTGCGTAATAATACATTTTTAGACTAGGTACGGATAAGATTTCTACACAGTGCCACAAAGTCTATTGATCCCGAGAAAATAGAAGCCCCTACACAATGTCGATAAATAAAAAGCAGTATTTTAAAAACGTTTATGAACCATTGATATTGTCATATTAATATTCTTTTGTTCGTCTCATTATTAAAATTATAATTTTTATTATTCCTTCAAATGATTTTCTTACTATTCATCAAGACTAATTGATATGTTTACATAACACTCTTATTTTCTTAATGCTAAAAATTGATATTCAAGAAGTGCATTACTGTAGTTTGCATTAATAATTTTCTTATTAAATATATTTCGTTTTATAACAGACAATTATTTTGAAATGAAATATTTTTATTCAAACTCCATTTTTTAGAATGATTTAGATTTTGAGTGAGAAATCTTAATCAGAAATAAGTAAAAATATTAATACTAGATGGCGCTGTAAAAAATTTCTATTGCGCCATCTGGTATTAACATTTTTTATCATAAATTTAAATATTGATACATTATATTAATAGATCGACAGATTTTCTACAATGTTATACGTTTATAAGTCCAATATTAATATTTTATAAGAAGAATTTTCAGTTTCATACTATAAAGAAGTCTAAATATACTCTAACTGTCCCAAATTACTTGGTTCTGAGAAACTTCTTTCTTACAATGGTTAATATGGTGTGTGCAGCTCATATAAACTATTTATTCCGAGAGAACGAGATTATGGACGGATGCGTCCGATTAGCCGGCCTGTAGTTGGAATGGAAATATGCGCGCGGGAGAAATAATGCCTTCCAGAGGTCTTTTAAGGGAAATCGGCCCCTATTTTCTACAAATTTTCTTTGATTTTAAAAATTCGTAGAAAATTAACGAATTCGACTTTCGAAGTTCTGATGCGTACATTAACAGAAGAAGTAAATATTATTCTGACGCAAAGATCTGATTCTATCTGCTTCGATTTTCGAGAATTTTTGGAATAAAATTTTTCCCATTGATATAGCATTAAATTTTTAACGCCATCTGCTGGAGATCGCATGTATAACCGCAGAGGTTACGATCATCATAAAGCTAACTTTTATTTTCCATAGATTCAATGTAATACAGGTTATATTGAGGTTGTGTCTCCATAAGTGCAGTTCAAACTACAGTACATGGAAATGATTAACAGAAAATTTATGTAAGGACCCGGACGGGGGTCGACTTGGACGTCCGAAGGGGAGTATAAACAAGATCTTATAAATCTCATTTTACAACAGGAAAGGGAGAAATTAAAGGTCTCGATTAAACAATAAAAGTTTTTTTTTTGTAAAATATTATAACAAAGGAAGAATGGTGTTGAAAAGACCAAAGTCGGGGGAATCGTAGTTGAAGAGGAGTCGGGTTTAGTCGCGACGTTGACCTCTCTCGCATCTCCAACAGGTTTCAAATTGTCACCAGGAGACGATGAGAGACAAATGGAAAGGCGACGTTGGGTGAAAAACTGATTCAAGGGCGTGACGTTCTTGGTCCGTAGTGCTCTTCTCCCGGAAGTTGGTGATCCTGCAGTCACACCAACGAAAGATTTGCAGACATCCAAAGATTGTTCATCGCTCTCCACAGTCATCCGGATTCACCAGGTCCTCCTATTCGCAGAAAGACATTTCTGGTGTAAAGCAGCCAGATTATACGCATTTGCTCATACGCTTTACAGAGCACCAACCTCACGCGGTTTAGCTGGTGGATGCTACACATCAAAATATCGTATAACTCTTCCAATGATTCTATCTAGGACCGGTTCTGGCTGTTAGCCGCCTGCCTGCTAGATATTTGGCCACCCTCGCCCGAATATGTGAATCATGAGTAGATTTATAACTTAACCCGCCGATAGGAGTTTACTGGTATGTTTTTATGAGAGTTCTGTATGACAGGAGTTTAAAAAAATCCATTAAAATATTTGATATATTTATTCTGGTTTTATTCTGCTCTCCCATCTTGTATTACTTACAGATTTCAATGTTAAACTAGTGATATTACGATCTAGTATGTACCATCTATAAGGGGATGCAGAAAAAAACGTGTACAATCCTTGAACAATGTTAAAGAATTAACTGTTACTTTGACAATATCATTTACAGCTAAATTTAATAAATCAGATGAACAAGGTACAAAAAAAGCTCTAGAATTTATTTTCCTTAAATTTACGATTTATGTATCTGTTGTCATAAAAATTTCTCTTTCCACTTCTTTCCTAAGACTACAAATATTCGAGTACAAAGTAACCGGTTTCAACTTATTTTTACTAAAAAGTAATTAAATAATTAAGAGATTATGGAATTAGGGACATAAATAAAACTCCACTGAAAGAGACGAAATTTTACTTAAACAAAAGCTTAACCGAACCAATCTCTAGCCGAGTACAGTGGGGACCGATTTCTTCGTAATATTAGATGTAATAAAGATAAAAATTTATCCAGTTCAATAAGAGTGATTGAAAGGTTGTAAATTTTGGAAATTTCCGTGGACACCTGGTCCTAAAACGAATCAGTTAAAAAACAATTGACGGACAATCCATTAAGTTTAACATATTTAGATTTTTTACAGCTATGGCGAGAAACGTTTAAAACGTTTGCAACAACCCTGTCGCGTCTTTTGAGATATACTAGTGATGCGACAAAAAAGACATTTGACATTGACTGGTATTGGCACCCTCGGGATTTGGCAGCCTTCGTGCATGCACGCACTGCACACCTACCAGGACCTCTCTGATTTCATCAATTAGCCACTCGTAGAGAGCTATTTGACTAATTGTTTTAAGATTTACAAAGTAAAGAATACTTTATGTTAATTTTATGTACGTTTCTTTACAAAGCTATATATAATTATAATTTTCTTTAAAAGTATATTCGTACATTTGATGAATATTTTATACCAGGTATGTATATCCACTACACATTTTATTTTACCAAGTAAGTTTTTATAATTTTAGCCCTTATATCATGGCTAGCGATTCAGAAAGTAATTGTGATATCAAAAGTATATTTAGAGAAGTCTACGGTTTTTACTGGCTTATTAAACAAATGAACACGAACCATGATTGACGCGCAATTAACTGATTGCCCCTGGAAGTTGGCTTCTTACAGCTTTCCTATCGTTAAATGTCACGGCACGCCACAGTTCATTATTATAGTTTTGCATATCACTAGGCTGATAAATTTTTGCAAAATGTACAGGAAGAAGCAGGTAATCAATGAGCTTAAACAATGATTTCCAAGTCTTTTTTAGTTAGTGATTCCTTTTTAGTGTACTGGAAGATGGTGACATTGTTCATAAATACCATTCTCAAGCTGTAGAAGGTCACGATCCACTGA